GACAGGTCCTGCCAATTGCAAAGAGATCACAAGCAGGTTCCCTGCATGCTCCTGACCACCTGCTGGAGCTACACGGGTCGCTTCCTGCCCGGTCAACTGGACTTTGACGTGTCCTGGCTGCTGGATGCTAAGAAGCTGCCCAACCCCCGCCTGTTCTTCCTGCGCGACGAGGGCAAGAACATCAGGAACCAGACCATCCGGCTCAACTACAATCAGAAGTACTGCCTGAACGAAACTGTCTACCTCATGGACAAGGTCCAGGACAAGCTCACCCCCCTTACCGTGGAGGCCCGCTACAATCTGCTCAGTCAGCGCAACCTCAACCCCGTGGTCCGCACCAGGCGGCAGGCCCTGGAGCCGGTGATTGACCAGAACCGTGACATCGTTCTCACAGATGCCATTAACATCCAGAAGAACTGCGGCCCGGACAACATCTGCGAACCGGATCTGAAACTGGAAGTAAAGTGAGTAAAACACACCATGCCCTAAAAACGAATCCATCTAATGAAAAAAATATTCCCCCAGGACCGTGGACAAGTATCTGTTTGGCTCACCAGAGCCCCTGGTCATCGAAGTACTCATTTCAAACAACAACGAGGATGCCTTTGAGGCTGCCTTCTACATGATCACTCCGCCGGATCTACAGTTCCGGAAGTTACAGCAACTGGGTGAGAAGAAGGATGCCCCCATCACCTGCTCACCGCCCACGCCGGAGAACAACCACACGCTCAAGTGCGACATCGGCAATCCCTTGGAGTCCGGAAAGATTGTAAGTCCTTAAGGGTTACCAACCATGTCCGTCTGTCCCTTTAGATGTCCTTATGAACATGTGGACTTATAATCCCATAAAAGAAAGAGTTATTATCTTTTGAATAAGCACTCCTGGGACTCTTAAGAAAGGTTCCGGGTTCTATTATAACCTATTTTTTAAACAGGAACCCTTGTCCGCATATGAGAGGGACCGCTTGTTAGCCTTAAAGCCTAATCCCTTTTTCTCTTCAGGTTAACTTCAAAATCAGCCTAGTGCCCGAGGAGAAATATGGAACTTCGTCCAGCTACGACTTCTATTGGGAGGCCAACTCCACGAACCTAGAGAAGGTGGGCTCCGACTACGACAACAAGATCCGTCAGAGCGTGGGCATCTGGGTGGACACCGACCTGGATATCAAGGGCACCTCTCTGCCACCCTATCAATTGTACAAGGCTGACGAGTACAATTCCCTGGAGAATGCCACCAAGGAGGAGGAGATCGGACCCCAGGTGGTGCACATCTACGAAATCCGCAACAACCGGCCCTCGATTATCGAGGAGGCGGAGGTCTTCATCCACCTGCCCTACCAAACCATCGTAGGCGATCCTCTAATGTATCTGCTGAACCAGCCGGAGACTGGCGGTCGCATCCGATGCGATGAGGTGGTGGCCAACGAGAACAATCTGGTGCTGGACGAGAAGCTCCGCCGGAAGTCATATCTGCAGGCCCAGGGAGCCATTTTCAACTCCGCTGAGGCTGCTGGCCAAACGGGAGCTGCTGCAGCCGGTGGAGGTCTATCCGGCGATGAGGGTCACTTGCAGGTGTCCCAAGGCGGCGGCGGATCTGGGCAGTCAGTGTTGTTGAGCAACCGAACCGAGCCGCAGAACCGCTTGACCCCGAAGCAGGTGGCCGAGCTGGAGCGGGAGGATCAAATGGAGGTGCCTGGAGACGCCTCCTTTGTCCATCGAGATCGTGCCAACCAGGCACAGGCTCAGGCCCAAGAGGAGCCCCGTGTGAACCACAGTAGCTACACGACCTGGTCAACATCCACTTCGACCGCTCCAGGATCGGGTGCGGGAGCTTCTGCTGCGGGTCACAGCACCCAGGGACACATCCACATGGCTGGACCCACGATCCAGCAGAACTTCGACTACCGCTATCCACAGCAACAGCAGATCGTACTGGCCGGAGCCGGATCCGGAGGACAAGGAGGCAGCTACCAGGACAAGTCGCAGTTCGGTGGTCGCCCTGGCAACTTCCATGCCGGAACCCTGGACTTGGGAACCCTGAATCGCGGCAATGTGGACAACGAGCTCTACAGGAGTCAGGGTGTTCAATATCCGTCTCAGAACCTGGGACAGTTCCAGACTCAAAGCCAGGGGCACATTAATGTGCAGCCACCCAGACAATACCAGAGCCAGAACTATCAACAGCAGTATGGAACTCCCGGAGCTCCTGGCGGTTACCACCATGTGAGCTACTCCTCTGGCAGCAAGCCCTACTACGGACTGGAGAACGAGAATTTCTACGACGAGAACAACCTGCAGAGGTCGCCCGGACAATGGAGCAGCTCCTCCAGTTCTTCCCAGCGTCGCTTCAAGAGGTCTCCGGACGAGGACCAGGGTCAGGAGCCGCAGCAAATCGACCTAAACTCCCCATGCAAGGCGGCCCGGTGCCAAACCATCCGCTGTGTGGTTAGTAATCTGGGAACCGATGACGGAGACGCCGCCTTCGTGGCCATCCGGGCACGCATGGTGGCCAAGACGATGGAGAAACTGGCCTCCAATGTGCCCTTGAACGTGTCCACCCTGGCGGTGGCCAACATCACCAAGCTGCCCTTCATCGGGGCTCCCAAGGATGCGATCATCAAGTCGCACGAGATCTTCTACAAGGCGGAGCCGGAGCCCCAGCCCGTTCCCGATGTGGTGCCTCTTTGGGTGGTCGTACTGGCCGCCTGTGCCGGTGCCCTCATCTTCCTGCTCCTCGTCTTGCTGCTCTATAAGGTTAGTAGTCTATCCAGTCTTTAACTTACTTAGTGACTAAGTAATCCTTTAATCAATCGATTTAATATCTATTTTATTATTTTACAGTGCGGCTTCTTTAACCGCAACCGGCCCACGGACCACTCGCAGGAGCGACAGCCTCTGCGGAACGGCTACCACGGCGACGAGCATCTGTAGAGTGTCCTTCGCGAGGACAAGGGAAACTGCAGCAGAATAGCCGGAATATTAACAACAAAAACGAAATATTCTAACATCGCACTAAACCAAAATGTACTAAAACCAGAAAACATCGAAACGGATTGGTTCTCAGCTAAAAAACAAAAAAATTCCAAGACGATGTAAAGTACGAGGGGCTCCTGAGGATGATCCTATAGTGAGGATTGTCCAAGGACTCCAAAAATGTTGTGCTGCTAAAGATAAACCCGGAGACGGAAATACGGAAAATCTTGTCCTCTGCAAGTATTTCCGGTTAGGAAAAAAAGAGAAAATAGTTGGAAAAGAAAACATTTGAACTTGCCTAGTCACGACATGAAGAACTTTCTAATGCGTAAAGGTTTTATTTATAACATTTAATTTTTTTATCACTTTTTATTTTTCAGTTTTTGTGTTTGTTCTTTGCAAAAATTTTTTGGAAAGTTGAAAAAAGTGCTATATTAATCTGTACTAAAGAATTAATCGGGGGAGATGAGAGAACACTAGGCTAAGGGAGTGACTGAATGCCTGACTGATGAAAGTGGATTGTGTGATTGAGCGATTGAGCGACTGATGCGAGTGATAGCCTTTATTGAAATATGGGACGATTGCGTCCAACTTCTGCGTTTCCTGGAGATGCTGTACAAAGATACTGCCACGCCCTTTCGAGGCAGCATCCCAGGGACGATGGGTAAAGAAAGAGAAAAAAACACTTAATAGGTGCTACTCTAGATTTTTTTTTGTTTTTTTAAACTCTAGTAATCGAACATTTTCAAAACTAGCGTCTATATGTCTTTAAAAAATCGTAGGCGTTTTCTTTTTTTTGTGAAAAATTGTTTGCCAAACTCAAAGTTTGCCGGTTTGAAGAAATGTTACAACGCCAAAATGTGTTAAAAAATGCAAAACAAATTATAATACAATAAGTAAAAACTAAAAAAAAATATTATTGATTAATCTATGTAATTTTCTAATGTAAACTCTTTGTGTAAATACTAAACAAACAAAAAAAGAAGGAAAGTTAAATCGTTATAATTACCTAAAATAATATTGCATTTATTTCCAAACTACAGTGGGAGAAGCGCTGACCGACTTCTTGCAGTGTACTCTCGAAATAAACCTAAGCTATTATTATCATTTTTTTTTGTCCGTACTACGTAAAACCTATACTAAAAATTAGTTTCGCCCGCTGCTCACAGTTAGTTTAGTTCAATTATGCTACTGTTTAATTTATTAACTGTACTTATTAATGCGTGTCATGAATAATGATTAAATACCTTTGTTTTCGCTAATTTCTGTATTAAATTTAATTATTTACCATAAAATACAAATAAAAATGACGGTCGAGTTGTAAAAGAAATCCTTTTGTTTTAATTTTGGTTTCGTTTTCGTCAAATTTGAATTTCAAATTCAACCGTCGCAGCGCCACCTGCAGCATTTTACTGGAAGCTTTATTTCAAATAAAATAGTAATAAAAAATCCATGAGAATTCAAAATACTTTTTTTATTTTAGTATTTTTTATTTTACATATTTAGTATATTTTTTTATTTTTTACAACATAAGGGTGGTAAGTATTCGTGGTAAAGAGGAGAGAAAGAATAAGCAAATGAAGAATGAAATAATATTTAATATATTTATCTATATATTTTAATATAGAATATCTAATATATGTATTTGTATTCAAAAATCCACGCGCCTTCGAGTTACAGTTAATTTTTTTTTCGATAAAAACTTAATACCAGATTGCATTTAAATACTTAATACTGCATTTGAAATAAGCTCACATTTGCTTTACTATTTGGAAATAATAACGACCGTTAAGGTCGTTTACAATGTCGGTGGGCGGGGAGTGGCCAAGCAGAAAAATATTTAACCACATACGATGGGGTTTTGGACATCGCTGCTTTACAATAATACTGCCAAATATGGACATAGTTCAACACTGAACTTTGAAAATCCAAACATCGATATTCCCATCGATACTTCTATGGTCATACTCATTTTCAACTTCACGGGAAAGTAATTATCGTTATCAATTGGCTACCTTGGCCTGGTCATACTTCATTTTAAAATTCATTGAGAAAGTCGTTTGACGTCGTGCGTTTTGTTGTTGTTTTCGCTGGGCTGAGCGCGTAAAATTGAAAACTGTAACTTAGAAGTGCCCACTAAAAATAAAATCGGCCGTGTGTATTAGCCACCAAAAATATTTTTTTTCTGTGATTTCAGTACAACATTATCGAATTGGAGTCGTGAAAAATTCGCTAAAAAGGTTTGCAAAAACCTGGGTGTAATAAAAAATAACGGGTGTTTCCTACTGCCAACTGGTAGATGAGCTATAAACAAAAAGGTAAAAACCAGCAGAATTCTTCTGATCTTAAGGAATTTCCACAAATACTAATGCACTCGTGGGTGTGTGTGTGTGTTTATGGTGTGTCGTGTGTGGCTGTGGCCAGAAAATATATGGAGCGAGTACATCTAAGCGCACTTTAAAGGTGGAAAACTGCCCAAGTGTACGTAAGCGGGTGTACCTGTGTATGTGACGGTGTGTGTGTGTGTTTGTTAAATGCCGGCAGAACCGGTTCAGCAAGTGGCCAAAGCAAAAACAAAAAGAAAATAAAAAGAAAAACATAAAAAACAAAAGAGATCAGATACACGTTCCCACGTCGATGGGGATCGGGATCGGCATTGGGATCACGATCGAAAATTTGTCACCTCATTGCAAAGGGTCGAATGAAGAAAACCGATCTTCAAACAATTGTCTTTTGAAGACTCGAAATATGAGTTTTTCTGGCAGGTCATTTAAGTTCAAGTAACTGTCACGACCGCAGAATGTGTCAAATCATTGCGGGAATCCAACTTTAAATATTTGTTTATTTATGCATTCTGGGATGGATACGAGGAAGGTACACGGAGATGGTTTATCAAGACCGCTAGGTATTGAGTTTGAAAATGTTGGCTGAGAAAGCAAAAAAACGCTGTTGAAACCTGAATAGTTTATGAAAACTATAACCGAAAAAAGATTAAAGTGTCAGGAACAAGAGCTAAATGGCATTAACTGGTAGTATTTTTAAATAATATTAAAAATAGTGCTTTAAATTTGTTGACTATCATAATATTTATAAAGTTAATGCATAGGTTTTAATATTATAAACAGTGACCTAAATTACGTATGTTGAGTAACAATCTTGATAAGTAAACATTGTAAATTCCCACCGTGTAAACGCAACAACACCAACTGCGAGTCTTGCGATGCTGCAAACGGGCTCTCCCTTCTCCTTCTGCCACTCTCTTTTTGTTTGTTCTTTTCATTGTATTTCGTTCCCCGAAAATTCCCATAATTAATGCGTAAGAACGCCGGCAGCAGCAACTGCAACGCCGGCAGAGCAAGAGTGCAGCACGTACCAGCCAACAACAAGAAGAGCTAGAGATGATAAGCCAGTGACATTGAAATAGCAGGGAATAACCTTGAATTTTGTAATTTAATTAATCGTCTGTATTATTTTACAGTTAAGACATGGCGCTTTGAAGAAGTTCCCTTGCAGATAATGCCAAAAAGCAAGAAGATGGATTTCCAAGAAACCTCATAATTTTTTTTTTGTTGATTTTATTTTTTTTAGGATCTCTTATCGGGCTAATTACATTATTCGAAGTGCTTCCTGTTCGGGTTTCCCTTTTGAGCTCCTTCTTTTGCGTTTTACTGCCGCGGCTTCCGTTTTCGCGACACGTCTGCTTTTCTGGTTCTATGGATTACCGTTATTGCATATTGAGCATGTGCCAGCGGCCCTCTCTCCCCCCCTACTGTTGTTGTTGTTTCTTACCCCTCTGCATTTGCGCATTGTAATGCTCACGCACGAACACGAAAAGTGGGCTTAGTAAGCCCCCCAACCCCTGGATGTTCTACCTTTGCGGCAACCTCCGCCCGCATTCGTCACTCTGCCATTGTCCCCGCCTCGTTACGCATTTTTTGTCGCTGCCGCTGGCTGGGTTTGCATTGTTTTCCCCGCCCGGGGGAAAAAGTACTCGAAAAGCTAACCTTAACCGCACCTTTTTCCGTTAAACGATTTACGGTTTCAACTTTGCGCTCGAGTGGTTTGCATATGAACGGTGGAAAGAGATGGGAGTGCGGTGGAGGAGGTGGGAGTGAGATGGGCAGCTATAGTGATCTAGAGATGGCACTACAGATACCTTATGTGAGCTTGTGGATAATGGGTTTATAGTCTGTTTATTATGTAATATTATTTAAATTAAAACTAGGATTGGTTTGATGAAAAATGTTTAAAATTATTAAAAATATTTATGTTTTTTACAAACATTTTTAATTCAATTTTTATAAACGTTTTAAAGAGTATATAAACTTTAACGGTATAAACGATAGCACAAAATGTTCAATTAAATAAATGAAATTAAATAAATACATTTTATTTTCATAAAATTTGTAATAGAGTTGAAATTATTCAAAAGTCTGTATTGTAAGGTATTTTGATTTTTGGTGATTTTTTTACTACGACTCATTAGAACATAGAGCTTTGAATTTTCTATAATATTTCGTTTTTTATTTTAATAAATAAAAGCGAATTGTTCTAGTTTACAAAAAAGGTAAAAGTTTTGAAAATTATTAAATTGAATTTGAATTTAATTTTCTAAAGAACAGCCTTTTTTTCTATTTTTGTTTTTATAAAAAAGATACATACTTTTAAGAAAAACTCCTTTAACATTTAAACAATTTAATGTTTTAACTTTGTAATGGCATCGAATATTAAAATACCCTTATACTCACATACTCTACCAAAATTATAACAACTAAATATGGAAAATATTTTTTAATATTATTTATTTTACCCCACGACCCCCTTAAAGGGTTCTTTGAAGTACCAGTTTTATGCCAGTTTACTGGCATTGGAATATAGTACTTTTAATTTTATTAAAAACCTCACTAAATGTGCATCCATCAGTTGGCATTTGTTGGCAAATAATCGACTCATCAGAATCGCTGGCCAATTAATTACGGTTTCATGTTTGGAGTGTGTTTGCGGCTCGAAGACAGAGTTGCATAAGCAGACATTCTGCCTCGCCGTGCAGTTCTCGTTACCAATTTGTCACTTTTTAGTGGCTTCGACTAGCTGACGACAAATTGTTGACACATTTAACAAGCTGATTGCAGAGTCGATGGGCCGGTGGGCTGGTGAGCCGGAGGGCGGGTGGATCGGTGGGGTGCGACAAGGTTATCATCGCGCCCAAAGCTGGCCAATACAATCGGCATTCAGTGGGTTCTCCGCAATCAACACTCTTGATAGTACAAGCGACGATTGGCGTGCCATTAGCTCGAATTAAATGTCAATAGAGTGGCCCAGAGCCGAAATAAATTAGGGTGTCAGCCGGGTGACAGGTGAGTGAAAAGCGCGCGCCACACTCAATTACCCGCAAAGTCAAATTGATTTCCTAATGCCCGCTATTGTTTTGTATGGCTGGTAATTGTCAAATCGGTTAGCATAGTACACATGTCCAGCAGGGCTATCTGCCGGGATATGTATATATGGTGGGTCATGATTTATGCCCGGCGTGCTCGAATATGGTAACCCGAACCCGTGAGGTTCCCGGCCGAGTCTCTATTTGGTTTCACAAAGCAAGAGCCGATTTTAAAATAATGCCAGCAGCTGGAATGTCTTTATTTGTGGAGAGAGTTATGGCCTCAAAATCGTGATAAACAAAGTGGAGCTTCATTAGGACCCTGTAACTTGTGCTATAGCTACTGGAAATACAAGCAGAACCGCCGACTTGCACTTTCATCAAAGATGTATCTCAAGTCTTATCGGAAACTCCCACCCCCAGAATAGCACTCGTCTTCGCTTTCATCGAACTGCGTCGCAGCATTGAATTGCGCGCTTCTTGGCTTCCCAAGAAGGAAATGCGGAAAACAGCAGGGGAGGGGTGGGGGGAATCCACCCCAAACCAAATGACGCAGCAGCCGCTCCAGTGGCCGAGATAAACGCGTTCTCAGGCCACTCTTCAAATAATAACACCCCCCTCCAGTTGCCTTCGATGACTGCCTCCGATTCACAATGGAATCGCGCCGCATAAGCATAAATCAGCAGAAATCATAAATCAAAAATCAGAAATCGGCAAGAAGCCGAAATCAAAGGCACTGCAACTTGATGAGGCGCGATGAAATCGAGATCCCTTTGGCGGCTTGTATTACTGCTGCAAGTGCAGCTCCCAGTACCCATGTGTCCCCGATTTCCGCCTTTTTTCGCGGCGAGAGTTCTTTGAACCGCCAAAGCGACCCATTAAATCCGAGCAAGAATAACACACAAAAAACCAGGAAATTCGCAACCGAAACTCAGCATAAAGTTGGCGAAAATATGACTAATGAGCAAGGGGATACTTCTAGGGGGATAATATTTATTTATTTTGTTTATTTTCCATCAGTTAGGAGAGGTATTTGAATGCTAATATGATTATATTTGATAACACCGATAATATCATATCATTATATTATATACTACACTAATATATATTATATACCCCCGAAATTCACTTTTTGACGCAAAACTATTCTAGAACTCATAACCAGAAATATATTAAAATATTATTTAAAAAATCAATACCATTATAGTGCTATTTTCAAATTAAAAATAAAAATTTATAAAGGCTTTGTGTTAAAAACTAAACAGTATGGGTGGCTGGTAAATGGTCTACCCTTTTCTACATGTTGTTTTCAAAAATATCGTACATGTACTTATGTATCTAGTACTAGTATCGTACTACATACTATGTGCTTAAAAGATAATAGATAATATTCTACCAGGGAAAACATTAGTTTTAGTAATTCAATCTATTTACTTTCGAATAAAGTGGTTTTATAATGAAAATTCAATCAAATTTAGACAATTTGGTCCATTCCCTCAAGCTTAAGTTAAACAAGAAAGGAAAGCTAACTTCGGGCGGAGCCGAAGTTGATATACCCTTGCAGTTAAAACCGGATATATATCGCAAACATCGGATTTAGTTGGCCGATCCTTATGATTACATTATAATAAAACCAATTAATTAAATTACAAAATCTAAAAAAAAGTCCCAAGCTTCTATCGTCAAAAAAAACAAAGTTGTTATTTTTACCAAATATTTTTTTTTTTTATTTTTAAACACCAAATACCATTTCTGATCGTTCAGTTATATGGCAGCTATAAGATATAGTCGGCCGATCCTTATGAAATTTGGTAGGTTGGATCAACTGACCAAAAATAAAATCTGTATGGAATTCCAGCATTCTATCTTCAAAAACACGAAAGTTGGGTCATTTCCGATCGTTCAGTTATATGACAGCTATAGGATATAGTCGGCCGATCC